AATTGCGATACACACGCAAATCTTTGATGCTTTGCATTGAACCGGAGCGCGGGGTAGGATTTAGCGAAGAACGACCCATCCTTTTGACCGCCTCTGAAACCGCCCACTTGCCACCCGGCCGACTCCATCGATCATGTCTGAATGAGCTAACCTATTTTTGTACTATAATCCAACAATGTCACATTATCAGTAGAGGTACTCGAGTGCGTACCTAGCATCTCCCGTCTCACAAGCAGCCGCAACACTGTACTGCTGACCAGTCGCCGCATTGCGCAATGATCAGCTCATGGTGCGCGTGTGAATCGTATCCGACTCTCTCCATATTTTTTTTCAAGGGATGTGTCAAGGTTGACGCATCAGGATCATAGATAGAGAAAGTGGCCAGAAGAAAAAGCCATTGTTGTTAGTACAACCTTACGGGTGCTAGAGCCCTAAAGAATCCACATGCGGATTACTCGCTCTCGTCCTTCCTATCTACCATACAAATGACTGAGCCACGTTCACGCAGCAGGCCAGCCGCTCTCCAATCCTGAGACTCTAACTCGATCTTAACAAGAAGTTCGTCCACAGATGGTGACGCGCCATTGAAAACAATGTCGTTTCGGTGCTTCCATAGCATCCATAACACCAGGGTTATCACCGTCCACGCCTCCTTCCTGAATTGATTTTGGGGGTTGAGAGTAGTCCACCATTCGACAAGCTTTGAATCTGCGGACGGCGTCCAGTCCGGCCTACTCAATGTGTTCATGACCTTGGTCCATACCTGCCTTGCTAGAACACATCCGAGAAGCAAATGGTCCAAGGTCTCAGGCAGCTGATCACAGAATGGGCATGCCGATGGGTGCGGCAACTGCCGTCGCTGAAGTCTATCTGCTGTCCAACATCGGTTCCGTGTCGCGAGCCACGTGAAAAACTTGCAAGCAGGGAGGGCCTGCATCTCCATACTTGCACTGCTCCCGCGCTCTCTATGCGGCCCGCAAAGTGGGCACGATATGCCGATCGCGTAGAAAATGTTCCTGAGCTCTCCCAAGTCCAGGCAATGGCATCCTCAATGCCCGGTCGCAGTTCAACATGTTGGGTTAGGTCCACCGGCGCCATGAACTCGAACAAGGCCTGCGTTCCCATGTCCGGGGACATATCTTGCCACCATCCAGCGGTGAGGGCCTTCTTGACTGTGATCTTCCGCCCATGCTTCTTTACCATAGCATAGAGGTGTGGCATGGTGTCCTCGATGCGGCCATCAGAGAGCCACCAATCTGTCCAAAATCGGGCCATCTCCCCATCTCCAAGCGTGCACCTTGTCGCTGCCTTGTATATTCCCATCGATTCATCGGATACTTGTATGTTAAACTCACTCCACGGCCTGGTGGAGTCGGTCCTCTGTAACCATGGCCATCGTGCCCTAAGTGCAGAGTTCAGGTAGCGTAAGTTCGGAACACCGAGGCTGCCATGCTCCTTGGGCGAGCAAACTTGGTTCCATGCAATGATGCAGTGTCCTCCATTCACCTCGCGTCGCCCTTTCCATAGGAAACCACGGCAAATCTTGTTCGCGGCAGTAATAGTTTTGATTGGCAGGTCAAGTGCCATCATCGCGTGAATCGGCATGGACATCGAGGTAGATCTAAGCAGCTCGAGTCGTCCATCCCGATAAAGCAGTCTCGCCTGCCAAGCAGGTAGCTTGTCAGCCATCTTGTCAACCATGTACTGGAGCTGAGCTGCCGTGATCTTACGTAGCCCCAAAGGCAGCCCAAGGTATTTACACGGCCAGCCCAACACCTGGCACTCCATCTCAGCTGCGATCAACTGCTTCTGCTCGTCGGAGCATCTTATTGGGTGGGCGGAGCACTTTGTCAGGTTAGTGCTGAGACCGGATGCAACACCAAAGTCATACAGCAACGCAGCACACGCCCTGAGACTTTGCACATCCGGCTTAATGAACGTGATCACGTCATCCGCATAGATGGAGGTGCACTTCCGAACACCGGTGGTCGCAAGAGGCGTCAGAATCCCTGCCGCCATGGCCTTGTAGAACATACGTTGCAGCCCCTCCATGACAAGGACAAACAAGAGGGGAGAGACCGGATCTCCTTGCCGCAAACCTTGTCGATTTTAAATGACCTCTCCCGGAACGCCATTGAGTAGCACTCTAGTGGAGGACGAAGCTAGAAGGCCAGAGATCCATGCCATCCATTTATTGCCGAATCCCATGTGTCGGAGGATCTCCAGAAGGAATGCCCAGTGCACGGTGTTGAAGGCTTTTGTAATGTCAAGCTTAAGCATCACGGCCTCTCGCCTCGCCGCGTGAAGCTTTCTGGCCAACCCTTGCACCATCATGTAATTATCATGCAACCATCTTCCTTGAATAAAAGCACCTTGGTGCGTTCCGACCAACTCTGGGACGTCCGGGGCCACACGTGTTGCCAACACCTTGGCAACAAGTTTCGGGAAACTACGGATCAAGCTGATGGGGCGAAACTCGCGGATCTCCATGGCTGCAGGCGTTTTGGGCAGGAGAGTAATAAGAGCCTGGTTAATGGACGTGAGGCCGCGGAAATCCATCCTGCCAAAAGTCTGGAAGGCCGCCATGACATCATCTTTTATGATCTGCCAGCAGCTCAAGTAAAACCGTGCTGGAAAGCCATCAGGCCCTGGCGCCTTGTCAAGCTCCTGAGCATGAATGGCTGTCCAGATCTCCTCCTCAGTGAACTCAATTTCAAGGTGACTCTTGTCCTTGCGGGGCAGCCCTAGCTCATCCAAATCGAGTGTGAACTCCCGGTCTGTGGTGTCTCCAAGCAGGTTAGAGAAGAAAGAATCGACAACCTCTGCCATAGACTCATGGTCAGTCGTAACCACGCCATCCACTTTGAGCTTGGTAATGAAATTCTTGCGCCTCCTATTGCTTGCATGCGCATGGAAGAACTGTGTGCACGCGTCCCCTTCCCGCAAGAAAAGAATCCGGGATCTCTGGCGGGCAATCGTCCGTTCGAGGGAGGCCAGCCCAAGCAACTTGCCTTTTAGCAACCTCCGCAGCCCGATTTCATCATGAGATAAAGCACGGCTCTCCATGGCGACATCTAACCGAAGAATGACCTCATTCGCAATGCGAATTTGCTGCTTGACACTTCCCACATACTTGCTGCTCCAGCGTGAAAGATGTTTGGCAGTTGTCCTAAGCTTGGCCGCCAATCGTTTGTACGGGTTTTGTATGAATGGTTGACTGCCCCACGCTTGTCTGACCACGTCTTGGAAGCCCTCAATTCTCGTCCAGAAAGCCTCAAAGTGGAAGCGCCTCCCCCGTGGTAGGTTTGCCTCAAGTACCAGATGTAATGGGCAATGATCTGATGTGCTGGTACTGAGCGCAGAGAGGAAAGATGCAGGGTGCATCGCCTCCCACTCCACCGAAACGAAAACCCGATCAAGCTTTTCGAGAGTGGCCTCCCTCCGTTCATTAGACCAAGTGTATCTACGGCCATTGAGATAGAGCTCCTTCATGTCGAGGTCCGAAATGCATCTCCTAAAGCGGCCCATCATCCGACGATTGATCCTGTCATTGCTCTTGTCCGATGGGTCCAAGATGAGATTGAAGTCGCCGGCAAGCATCCAGGGGCCTGCATGCAATTCTCTGACATCCTTAAGCTCTTGCATGAAAAGCACTTTGTCCGTATCCTCCTGGGGTCCATAGACTCCAGTTAACCACCAACCGGGTGACCCCTGGAACTGCACCCACGCCGTGGCCGTGTTTTGCGTGATGTGTGGATTTGTCAACTGCGCACATGCAGATTTGGCTGCCAATAGGACGCCACCACAAGTGCCAATCGCTGGCACGTAAAAGAACACATCAAAGGCCGGGCCAAGACATTGCCGCACCACCATTATGTTTACGTCTTGGAGTTTCGTTTCCTGAAGACAAACTACACTCGCGCCCGAGCTCGAAATGACGTTATTTATTGCATTGCGTTTTGCCGGGCTATTCAAGCCGCGTACATTCCACATCACTATCACTTGACTTGGGTCAGCCATAGAAAAAGGCCTACAAGCAAGCTACAACAGGTGCACACACTAAAGTGTGTCACACTCCATCCCTTTGCCAAGCGGCAGCACATCCGCCTGCCACCCAAAGAGTCCAACGATTGCCGTAATGTGTGACTGTCTCTCCATCTTTGACTGTACCGAGACAGATACGGAAAGGGGAATTGCTACACCAGAGATCCTTGGTGAAAGTTAGGGGGCAATCTTACTTCGAGAAAGAACCAAAGCTAGCGAGCAACCCGATATTGCTGCTCCTGCATTGGATCATCATGGTTCATAAAAAGTCGGACAATCTCACCCTTTTGATCATGAGTTGCACGTCCTGACCACGGTACACTATGCATGCGCACGCAGTAACGTTGCAGTGCGTAGTAAGAAATTTCTTACTCGCGGAGAAAAACAAATGTCTTCTTGAATGCATTTTTTTTAAGGCTTGAATGCATGATTGAAGGTACTGTAGCCAGTGAATAGCTCAGCTAGCTAGCGTCGTGTCGTCACTTGCGTGCCGAGAGAGTCAACTCAGAGCAGGCTTTTATATTCGTACACGTACTATTCCCGCTCGTCTGCTCGTCACCTTTGCCCGGCCAGAATTTATTTACCGCTGTAATAAGAGGTGGTACCTCGACGCGTCAAATCACCGCAACCATCGATGGATGGGTGCATGCATGCACGCACGCACACGTACCGCCCGAACGATCGATTCGCTTGCTTCACTGCACCGCCATGATTCGAACTTATGCACGCTACCAGGCTAGCTAGCTAGCCTATGATCTTACCCCCATTTACCTCCTCTTTTCATGTCACTAGCTGCTCGCGGTGATCATGGCGTGCACGCTCCCTTTACCCCCTATTTAAGCCGCTCGGTCTCTTGCGAGGAGCTCCGGTGACATATACTACCCCGTGTCCGTGTGTGCGTGCGCGTCCACTTCTCCAAGAACTCACTCGTGTAGTGTAGTCGAGCCACGATCACCATGCCCTCGCCTGGTGGCTTCAGTCGGCGTAGCGGCGACAGTTTCCTGCTGCCCCGGCCGCCGCCGGTGACGGACGTGGGCTGCGGGTGCCGCACGCCGAGGCTTCTCAGTTCCATCTACTCGTCGCTCATGTCCCGGGCGCGCGGAGGGGGAGGCCGTGGCACCAAGCCCAAGTCGCCGCACGCGTCGTCCTCGTCCACCGCCACCGCCTTCACCTCCAGCACCGCGGGCGCCACCACCGCCACCACGGCGTCGTCCCTGGACGACTCGTGGGGCCTCGCGACCTACGCCACCAACATGCTCTACGAGGACGACCCGGAGGCGAGGCGCCAGAAGCAGAGGACCACGACGAGGACGAGGAGGCGCAGGAGGCAGAGGAACCACGGTAGCGGCAGAAGGCCGGAGAGGGGCGTGGCGGTGATGGCGCGCGGGGAGGAGGTGGAGGAGGAGGAGGCTGCGGTGGCGGTGGAGGTGGAGTCGGCGACGCCGTACGAGGACTTCCGGGAGTCCATGGTGGCCATGGTGGTGGAGAAGGAGATGTACGCGTGGGAGGACCTCAACGCGCTCCTCCACGGCTTCCTCTCGCTCAACTCGCCGCGCAACCACCCGCTCATCCTCCACGCCTTCGCCGACCTCTGGGCGCCGCGCGGCGGCCTCTTCTGCCCTCCGTCACCGTGCCTAGGCCTCTAGAGTGGAGGCTCCGCGCCGTCATGCGCCACCTAGCTAGCTATACTCCATTAGCGCTGGCATATATAGCCGTAAATCTAGCTTAGGCTCTCGATGGGTCATACTACTGTATTACGTACTATCTTGTACTGTAGTTGTCGTCGTCGTCCTCGTCGTTGTTGTACGTGCTACTCTGCTACTACTCCGTAGTCCTCTAGAGCTAATGCTCAACGGACTGCGTATTAATCTTTGTGTAATGATGATGCGTGCGTGCGTACGCAAGACAAAATAAAGTATGCCATACGATGGCACGTCCGTGGTTCGTATGAGCTCTGTTCGTTTCTATAGAGCTTTTTTTTTCACACTTTAGCTACTTTTCAATCGCCTGAAAATAATAGTTATGGTCAGTCGATTTCTTTTCCCACCGATTCATGCACGTAACGAGCGCTACAGTGTGCATGCTACAGCAGTACAGCGCACATGCAGCCGATGCGTGCGTGCTTGCTTAATTACCGTGAGTATATTAACCACTAGACAGATGACGGGAGCCTTTTTTTTAATATCAGTACAGACACAAGGCTTAATATACACACGCATATACTCATCCCTACGAACGCACACACGCATACCCTATCTCTATAAGCACCTCCGAGAAACTGAGGGACTTTATTTCCGGGGACTTTTTTGTGTAAAGACTAGAAAAAGTCCCTCTTAAAGACATTTTTTATCAAACGGAAGGGACTTTTTAGGGACTAAACTAGGTATTTGGGACTAAATGAAAGAAGATTCTTTTTGGAATTTTTTGGGACTTTTCCAACAATGCCCCTCGATGCATCCATTGGCCCGCCACCCCATGGTGTTGTTTGATTGTTATTTTTCTATATACTAGGGGTAACATGGTCATTTAATAATCTCTAGGAAGGGATTAGGGACTTTTTAGTCTCTGGAAACAAACATGGAGGGACTTTTTAGGGACTAGAGACTTTTTAGTTGGGACTAGAAAAAGTCCTAGGACTAGAGAACCAAACACCACTTGAGCCGGCATATCATCTTGAAATTTATGAAATCACCATAGGCACCTCGTCATCGACGGAAACGTCTCCTCCCACTGAATGCTCATCGCCGGAAATCCTGAAATAAATCCAGAAATAAATGCGAGCACCAGGATTTGAATCCTGGTGGGCTGGGGATACTACAGTCCCTCTAACCACCCAACCACAGGTTGGTTCGCACAGATAAAGGGAGCCTGGACGGCCGAGAGTATTAATCGACGTGTATGTCCGAAGTATTTGTTCAATTTAAAGACAAATGTTTTTTTGCGGGGGTAAACAGAGTTTTATTGCAAGATTATAGAGTTATAGTCTTGAGACCATAAATCCTCAATACACGGTGATATTGAGCCCAACCACACAGCAGTAGTACGCTCCGTGCGGCTATAATTGGCCAGTCGATCGGCAACTCTATTTTAAGAACGACTAATCTTTAAAGGAAAAAACTCCCTAATACCTAACAAGTCCTTGATCTCCAATACTAAGTGGCCATAAGCTGACCTATAAAGCGCATTCTTTGATAGGCTGGATAAGGCTTCAGAGGAATTTAACCGCACCATCATCGGGAGGTCCGAATGTTGTATTGCAAGTGCCATGCCTTGCATTAAGGCCAACTCCATCGCGCGATCCTATCCTGTCCGGCCCCGTCCATTTGAGGTAAAACGGACAAAGGAGACGGCCCAGCGCGCGACGGCCCGGACCTATCTTATCTATTTTGTGTCCGGGCCGACCCATTTCAAGCATAAACTTACGCAGGGTTTGAGTCGCGACGGACACCAAACGGACACGCGCCTTGTCCGCGTCGGGGCCGCGTGGCAGGCGGCCACCTACCTCCCACCCGTGCACATCAATGCACACGAGCGGGCGGCCCCACCTGTCATCCGCACGTCGAATGATCGCCGTCCTTCTTTAAATGGGAAGCGTGGACGGGTCGTCGTCCACACTGCCCCACGCCATCCCGTGGCCTCCTCGAAACCCGACAGCCCCAGTCCCAAACCCTAGCCAACACCTCGCCGGCAGGCCGTCCGCAGCCATGGGCCGCAAAGGCAAGCATGACCGCAAGGCTGGTTCCTCGTCGGGACGCCGCCGCGGCTCGCCATCGCCACCACGCCGGCCCCCCGCGCCGCCCGCCTTCTCCATCGCGCACACCTCCACCGGCGAGCGCGACCGGCATTACGTCCTCACGTCGGTGTGCCGCTGTTATTGGGAGACGAGGACGTCGCTCCCCTGGAGCGACATCCATCTCCCCAATAACTGGCATCTCTTCACCGACCGGGTCCCGATCCCGCCGGTCCCGACGAGCGGCCGTGCGCGCGACAAGGAGATCGAGCGCCGCAGCCTCCTCCTCCCCGACGACCTCTTCTACGACCCCAGGTACGCCCCGACTCCGGGCTCTAGGACACCTGGTTTCGTGATGAGCACGACACCAGGCGCGTGTCGTTCTTCGCCGGCACCTCGACGGGGCCGCGGCGGCCACGACAGTAGCGCGCAGCGCCTGCTCCCCCGGAGCGCGGGCGTAGGCGGGTGCGCGGCGTCACGCCCACGTCGTCGCCTTCGCCGTCTCCATCGCCACCACCACCTCCTCGCATGAGAGAGGAGGAGGAGGCCCGTCTCATGGCGCGTGTCATGGAGGACTCCATGTACACACACAATGAGCGGCAATGAGAGGTCCTGGAGGAGATGACGGCCCGCTCCGCTGCCGGCGAGGTAGCCATCCCCGAGGAGGAGGAGTCGGTGGCCGCGTTCCAGCAACTGCTGGGCCAGGGGTGGGGCTGGTCCTGCACTGCTCCGGAGATGGCCGCCGGCGTGGGCGTGAACTGGTGCCCCACTCCGCCGCGGTTACCGGAGCGGGAGGCGTCGCCACGGGAGGAGGTGGTGCAGGCACCTCCGGCCGTCCAGCCCGCCCCCGTCTACCACGCACCGCCGGCCCACCCGTGGACGCCGCCGGCCTACGTCGACCTCGTCAGCGACGACGACGACACCGGCGGCCAGTGAAGACGGCGACGGCCACGGCACTGACGGGCGCGGCAGGAGCGCACGGGAAGCGTTTTTTATTTTGTTTTTATATGTTAATTATGAAACTGGGCCTTTTAAGTGGCCGTGGAAACTGGGCCATTTTGTGGCCGACCCCTATATATGTTTTATGTTTTTTTAAATGCGTTTATTTACTTTTTTAGTTATTTCATTATAGTTTTTATATTTTTTTATTCACGTCCACCCCGGACACGATTTGGGGTGCGGCCGCGCGGTGGGCGCACGCACGACCCATCAGACAAAGCCGGACACGGACGAACCCATCGGCGCCCAAAGGGACAAAATCCGGCCAAACCAGACGTCCGTTTGGGATCGTGCGGTCGAGTTGGCCTAGCGCATACAGTTCCGCCTCCAACGAATCATTGCAGTGGAAGATAAAACGATAAGCTGCGAATAGGATTGCTCCCTCACCGTCCCTTAGAACCATACCAGCAGCCACAGAACCGTCGTCCTTCTGGAAGGAACCATCAAAAGAAAGGGCCACAGGCCCAGCCGCCAGGGCCGGCCATGGATATGCGGGGGATCTGTCAACTCTCGCCGCGGAGGTAACATCTATGGTAGATATCTTGCCTTTTAAAATTTTATCAGTTGAGAACCTTCCGGCTAGTTTGATTGACTTGTAGTAATTGTTCAAGAACTCAACGTTAGCAAGAACTGGCGGACTATCCTTTCCATGTAGCAAGTCACTACGCAAGTGCCAAATCCTCCACACCATCATAATTAGCATGTTTCTAACATCTCCAGAGCACTTGCTCAGTAAGGTCAAAAGCCATTCCTTTCCAGTATCAAGTAGCATATCATCAGCTGGTAGTGGCCACCGTCGACGCATATTCACCCAAAGGATTCTAGCATGCATACACGCTACCAGCGCATGGTATGTGCCTTCCTCCTCCAGACCACAAAGAGGGCATGTCGATCTAGTCGATAAGTGTCAGACTTCCAGATAAGATTCCACAGGGAACGTTCCCCGTCCGGGTTAGTATTGGAGACGCCATTAGCAAAGGCAGCATTGTGTTCCTGGGCAGCAAGCCTGTAAGCACTTTTCACCGTAAACACTCTGCTCTTCTCTGGAAACCAAGAAAGAAAATCATCACGTTGGCGAGGGGAGGTTTTTTATGTGTATGTGTAAATTTGCTTGTTTTTGACGGTCATCTAAAGAAAATATGTTCATGCTATTTTTCTTTTTCTTTTTATGTGTGTTTATTTCTGTTTCTTTGTCTTGAGTTGGTTTTTTATGTGTATTGTGTAAATTTGCATGCGTATATGTATGTATCATATAATATGTCTGTAAATTATATTGGGGTGTGAAATTTACGCTATTATGTATATTTATTTGTTTTAATATTATTTTTTTATTTTATATCATATTAAGGGTAATACCAATGCCACTAATTCATTCTTCCTTAGATACTTCATCTTTTACGAAACTTACACTATTATATGCTTGTTCTTGCATATTATGAAAAAGTATAATTCTTTACAAATTGTGTGCAATTTTGTCATTATTTCTTTTAGTTTTTCATTTTCTTTCTTCTTTAAGTGTAATACCTAGCGCCACCAATTCATTCTTTCTTAGAAAAAGATTATTTTAGTTTTTATTTCTATTTTAGTGTTGATTTTGTTTTAGTTTTTATTTCTTCTTCTTAAAGGGTAATACCATTGGCACCAATCCATTCTTTCTTACAAAACTTTATGGTTTTGAATTTGTTTTAGTTTTATCTTATTTTCTTTTGTTTTACTTAACTTTCTTTCTTGTTCAAAGGTATTACCATTGCCACTAATTTATTCCTTATTCGAAAACTTCATTATTTTGATTTCATTTTGGTTTTATTTCATTTCTTTCTTGTTAAGCGTAAAACCAGTGCCACTAATTCATTCATTCTTAGGGCACTTCTTTTTTGCAAAATTTCCACTATTATATGAGTATTGTCGCATATTATA